TCATTTTTTTTTTACAAAGTTTTTTTTTTGTGATTAAACCCCCCTCCCCTTTTTTTTTTTTTTTTTTTACTCTGTCCTCTCTCCTCCTCTGCCCTCCCTCTCAGCCCACTCTTTACTCAAATCTGTCTCTCATTGGGAGCATTGCCTTTTCCTACAGTTATTTTGTTTTCTTGCCGATTCTTTAGCTTGTTTAACTCACTAGCGACTTATTAGTTCCTCTTGTCATAGGTATTTTTACATGCTTGCATTTAGTTTTTATGGTGTATGCTGTTATTTTTTTCTTATTAACCTCCTTGGCATTTATTTTAATAAACATTCTTAGTAAGAATTTTACTAACTTTGCTGCTATTTTGTGTTGTGTTCTTTTTTTTAACCAGTTTAATGAATTACTACCTTGGTCTGGTTCACGGACTAACATGATTAAATCTGGTGTGTGAACACCCTCACAGTTTTACACACACACACATTCAAACTTTGCTGATATTATTTTGTGTTGTGTTCTTTTTTTTAACCAGTTTAATGAATTACTACCTTGGTCTGGTTCACGGACTAACATGATTAAATCTGGTGTGTGAACACCCTCACAGTTTTACACACACACACATTCAAACAGATGCCTTTTTCCGAGGTCCATACACATTTACAGTTCTCTCACACACACACACACACACACTTCCACGCAGTCTAACAGGTAAATGTGCACGCATTATGTAATATATTGTATATATTAATACATTTATGAAATAAGTCTTCATATAGTTTTTGTGTATGGAAATGAAAAATCTGTGCAAAGAGAACCTGTTATTCATGGCAAAAATAAATGATTTAAAAGGAGCTTTGTAATGTGTGCAATAAAGGGCAGTGCTTTCAGTATGCTGCTGTTTGATTGCTGCCAGATGAGATTGTTTTTAGACCATTTTTCACTGAGGACATCAGATCAAACTCTCTGCGGTTTGAGTCCGTGGCCTTGTGTTCAGGTAAGTTACATCCAATTAAAGCAATGGCAGCGAGTCTAAATGTCACAGGTTTGGAGTATCAAGTCTGTGTTTACTGCTGTAAAATGAAGCAGATTCTGTGAAGTTTGACCTGTAGGCCAGAAACTGATGAATGGTGTTATGAACTCGATGCGTTTATTGAGACCAATGAGACTGAAATGCAATCTAAAGATTATCTATTATATAGCTATATGTGGATATGCTGATAAAATGTCAGATGTTTTTGCACAGTTTGGTTTTATCTACTTCATGTAATACATCTCCCTAGAGAATTTAATTGGCAGTAACAGAATTACCACCGATCTGTCCTACTGTATGACATGATGTGACATGTGGCCAAGTATGGTTACCCATACTAGGAATTAGTGCTCTGCATTTAACCCATCCAAAGTGCACACACACCCGGAGCAGTGGGCAGCCATTTATTCTGCGGCGCCTGGGGAGCAGTTGGAGGGTCGGTGCCTTGCTCAAGGGCACCTCAGTCGTGGTATTGAAGGTGGAAGAGAGCACTGTACATTCACTCCCCCCACCAACAATCCCTGCCAGACCTGCGACTCAAACTTGCAACCTTTGGGTTACGAGTCCGACTCTCTAGCCATTAGGCCATGACTTCCCCTATCAGCACATAAATGCTTAAAAAGGGAGTCTATGGATCAAGTTTAGAGTGGATTTTAAACTATCTTTCTTACTCAAAGTATAGTACATCTCTCAATCCATTGCCTCATGGCTAGACTCGGCTCCGGCACCCCTAGTGTCTCTTGCTCTCACCAAGAATTTTGTATGAAGGCGGAAGTCTGTTTTGGCCAGCAGAAGTCGAGAGATCAAAAGAGTGTTTGTAACTGGAGCAGCTGGCAGCTTTATCAAAGCAAGAAAGAGAGGAAGAGAGGAGGGGTGTCGCAAGTAACAAATGATCCTAGTTCCTGCAGAATAAATCAGGAGCATTCATAAGGACACAGCTGTGTGTGGTGTGTGTGTGCGTGTATTTCTCTGTGTGAACGAAAGAGAGATGCTCTGTTCTATGTGTTTTTGGCATCTTGTGGAGGTTGATGAATAGTGTCTTGTGCTTCAGGTCTCAATGACCAGCTGGTGTGTAAGAACTTTTCTACCGTTCCAAATCTTGTCTATTGAGAGAAAGGACATA